AAAAAAAAAAAAAAAAAAAAAAAAAAAAAAGGTGAGATGCCTCTAACTTCAACTTTCCAAAGGCCTCTCTTGTCACTTCGAGTGATGTATACTGTTTAGAACTACAGTCCTGATACCCAGCAGTAACGTTTTGATAACGAAAGCCATGAAAACAGCAACATAATTCGCTAAGATATGGAAAGGCCACGCCTATAATGTTTTTTCTCCTTCTGAGAATGATTTTTTTCATCCTTTAGAGACAGGGTCTCACTATGTTGCCCAAGCTGGCCTTGAACTCCTGGGTTCAAGTAATCCTCCTGCCTCAGGCTCCCAAATAACTGGGACTAAAAGGGTGTGTTACTGTGCCCGGCTTTACGAGTGATTTCATTCCCATCCATTTGTCAGAAACAAGGGAATGCTGGGTATTCAACGAGCAGTGTGGAAGGTAGAATAAGATAGTTTTTATTAATCAAGAATGTCTTTTACCTTGCTTGTCTGATAAACTCCTGAAAGTTTTCCATATTCACTCCATCTTCCTCTTCTTCCTCAAGTTTCTTCTTTGATTTCTTTTCAGCCATTTGTTCTGTTTCCTACCCAGTGCCCAAACCCCACAGAAAAACAAGATAAAACTGACTCCTAATAAATATGCACTTCATCATGTAGTTTCAATAGCTTTGAGTTAATCAGTCCTTACAGTAAAGACATTTAATTCTTGTATGTACTTTTGCCACCTATAAATTTGATATATTACTTTTGGCCAGGATTTTGTAAAACATTTTGAAATTCCCAAGTTGCAGAATGAATGTGAGTTTTAATCATGTTTTTACTTTCTACTTACACAGCCCACTGATTAAAGAGCTTTTTAATAGTATCTTAGTAATATCTATGATCACTCTTGTAGCTTTAACAATATGACAACAGAGACACAGTGTTTTGTTCCAATTAGGAGAGGAAAGGTAGATCTTGGAAGATACTCTTATACCAGCTTCCAAACTGAATAAATCCTTCACTCATGTAACACATAACAAAATTCTCAAAAGATTTGGAATAAATTCTGGCTATGAGTTTGGTGCACTGATATTCTACTAACAATTCCATGCTACTTTAGAAAAGCCATTTAAATTTCTAGGCCTCAGCTTTTCCTTCCACAAACTGACCAAACCTCCCAAATTATATATATATATATTTCTTTTTTTTTTTTTTTAATTATACTTTAAGTTCTGGGGTACATGTGCAGGTCTTGTAGGACTGTTACACAGGTATACATATTCCATGGTGGTTTGCTGCATCCATCCCCCCATCACCTACATTAGGTACTTCTCCTAATCTCTCCCCAATCTCCCCACCCCCTGCTATCCCTCCCCAAGCCCCCCACCCCTCAACAGACCCCAGTGTGTGATGTTCCCCTCCCTGTGTCCATGTGTTCTCACTGTTCAACACCCACTTATGAGTGAGAACATGCTGTGTTTGGTTTCTGTTCTTGTGTCAGTTTCCTCAGAATGTTGGTTTCAAGATTCATTCATGTCACCGCAAAGGACATGAACTCATCCTTTTTTATGGCTGCATAGTATTCCATTGAGTACATGTGCCACATTTTCTTTATCCAGTCTATCATTGATGGGCATTTGGGTTGGTTCCAAGTCTTTGCTATTGTGAACAGTGCTGCAGTGAATATTCATGTGCATATGTCCTTATAATAGAACGATGTATAATCCTTTAGGTATATACCCAGTAACGGGATTGCTGGGTCAAATGGTATTTCTCTTTCTAGATCCTTGAGGAATCGCCACACCGTCTTCCACAACAGCTGAACTAATTTATACTCCCACCAACAGTATAAAAGCGTTCTAATTTCTCCATATCCTCTCCAGCATCTGCTGTCTCCAGGTTTTTTAATGATCGCCATTCTAACTGGCATGAGATGGTACCTCAATGTGGTTTTGATTTGCATTTCTCTAATGACCAGTGATGATGATAATTTTTTCATATGTTTATTGGCCGAATAAATGTTTTCTTTTGAAAAGTGTCTGTTCATATCCTTCACCCACTTTTTGATGGAGTTGCTTGTTTTTTTCTTGTAAATTTGTTTTAGTTCTTTGTAGATTCTGGATAATAGCCCTTTGTCAGATCCGAAATGATACTTTTAATGCATTCTGAGATCCCAGGATATAGGATGCTTTGCAAAATATTCTAATTAAATAGTGTATTTCCTGGGCTTGAATGTAACATTCTGTAACTGTATAAAATGATTTAAAAGATGAAAGTATAACTTGCTCAAGAAAGAATATGTCATCATATTCAATCCACAGCTCAAATTTGTTCTCAAATGGTCAATTTGCCACTGTCCACGGGCACACTAACAACCACGCAGACTCACACAGCCTAGAATTCATCTCAGTGCTCAAAAGGAATACACCTTTTGATGGAAATTAAGAATTAACTATGGCCGCTGGACCTTCAGAAGTAATAAACAGTTTTTCAACCCAGCTGGGTTAAGATGTGGGGTCCTTCTTCCCCTAACAGTAATGCACAAGGGATGGCGATGCCAGAGCCGAAGCAGAGCATCTCCACCTAGTTGGACCGTGGCTTCTAGTTTGTTTCTGACAGTGTATGGCAATCCAAAGCCCAAGACTTACAGATAAAAGACTCACCTTGCTGTATACAAGGATAAAGTCACCGAGCTGGTGGGCCAGGATCCTTCTGCGTTCCAGAAGCGCCAATCGTCGGCTGGGTAATATCATCCTCAGTGAATGCTGGAGGTTACTTGATGCTCGCTTGAGGAAACGAACTACCAGCTCCTATAAATTAAACAGTCGTGGGAGAAAAAAAAAAGCAGGGATGGTGCTAAGCAACAGGAGACAAGCTATGAAGGGACTACATAACAGAGATGTAAGAAGATGTATATTACACATTTCAACAAACAAGGCCCAAAGCAGACAGGTCAGGTATAATGAAGATACAGAAAGAAACAAAAAAGAAAGAAACTTATTTCCTTCCCTCAATAAGCTGGCAATCAGAAAATTAAAATCAAGTATGTACGTAAATAACTATGTAATAAAGCAGTAGTTGTAAAAGCACCTTAGTACATACACAAATAGTACTATTTAGGGAAGGTAGCATCCAAAGACAGGTAGTAGAAACTAAAACTGTGGAAGCAGAAGTAAGTATCAAAGGTGAGAAAACAGAAAGAGAATACGGAAATATTCGTATTTAGAGACAGAAAAGCTGAGGAAGAATCAGGGAAAAAAAAAAACAAGTTAGAAACATCAGAAACATAGAAAACCAGGAGAAAACAGGCTGGGCACGGTGGCTCACACCTGTAATCCCAGCACTTTTGGGAAGCTGAGGTGGGCAGGTCACCTGAGGTCAAGAGTTCAAGATCAGCCTAGCCAACATGGTAAAATCCCGTTTCTAAGAAAAATACAAAAATTAGCTGGGCATGGTGGCATACACCTGTAATCTCAGCTACTCAGGAGGCTGAGGCATGAGGATCACTTGAACGTGGGAGGCGAAGGTTGCATTGAGCCGAGATCACACCACTGCACTCCAGCTTGGGTGACACAGTGAGATTCCATTTCAAAAAATAAAAAACAAAGAAAATTAGGAGACAATGCTGTCATGGAAGTCAACTGAAGAAAGGGTTCCATGTCAAATGCTTCCAAGAGGTTGGAGCTGGAAAGGACCACTACAAAGACAGGGCCTTGGATCTGACCATTGAGGAATAATTTCAAGGAAACAGTTTCCACAAAGAGAGCACAAGAAGACATTAAGAAAATGCATGGGTAATGAAAAATACAGGTGAAGAGTAGAAACTAATGACTTTAAAAGTGTCATGATTAAGGCAAAGAAAGAACTACAATAGTAGCTTGCAAAGTAACAGCTATTTTTCTTTCCCAAGGATAAGGGAGCTTTTAGAGTTGGGGGTTGGCAAGGAGGGCACAGTGGAAAGTTATCAAGGGAGAGAAAGACTACATCTCACTTAAAATGGGGGAAAAGGATTTTGAAACCTGAACAGATACCCATCAGATTACTGATAAAATCACAAATGCTTCAAAGAAAGATTTTATAAGCCCAAGAGGCTTAAAGATGTTGTTGTCCAAAAACCATAATAAAACTGCCTTCAGATGATACATTTGGGGATGTTCTGTTGATATTCCTTCTGTGAGTTATGAGATAAAGAATCTCCAACCCTACGCTGGAGCAGAGAGGCCAAGTCTACAACTACCAAAAGCAAGATCACTGCTACAGTCATCAGGGAAGGGGTACGGCTTGCTCTCTAGATACATTTTCTTTTTCTTTTCCATTTTTTATTGTTTTGTCGCCCAGGCTGCAGTGCAGTGGTGTGATCCCAGCTCACTATAATCTCTGCCTCCCAGGTTCAAGCAGTTCTCTTGCCTTAGCCTCCCGTGTAGCTGGGATTACAGGTGCAAACCACCACACCCAGCTCATTTTATATATTTTAGTAGAGATGGGGTTTTACCATGTTGGCCAGGCTGGTCTCAAACTCCTGGTCTCAAGTGATCCACCCGCCTTGGCCTCCCAAAGTGCTGGGATTACAGGCGGGAGTCACTGTGCCCAGCTTAGATATATTTTCAAGAAAGAATTCACAGAAGTGGTATTAAGTTTTGCAGTGATGATCCTCAATATTCTTGTAGAAAGCCCCAAAGATACTATATGAGTTCCAAGCCAGCATCAGCAGTGGTTATTCCTTTTTGAACTGTTTTCTTCTTCTTGAATTTGATTTTGGTTCATTGTCCTTTGGTGCCAATTTACTGCAGCATAAATGAAACAGCCTCATAACCAGAGGGTTGAATTTCACAGTTCTACTCTGCTGTCTTTACTATAGGGTGGTTTAAGCTGTTATATTAAAACATTTTTTTTTTTCACAGTGGAGCAGACAAACTGACTCTCAAAAAGGCAGTTTCAATTTTCCACTTGGAAAGAGTAGAGCTAACATTTTCCACTGATGGTTGAAGGATTATTCACAACACACAAGGTCTTATCTCTGGGTTGCATTGACTACTTTAAATGCATAAGTTGTTTTCTGGGATAACCAACATGTTTTTATAATAAATCTGGCATAAAGACTTGCCTTTTGTATGTGGAGGACTAAATATTACAGTAAGGTCACCACTGAGTGGAACAAAGAATGCAGCTTTCTCAGACTTAAAGTCCCCTCTCTTTTTAGTGACAAATCCCTGTAATTAAAAAGAATATGGGGCTGGATGCCATGGCTCACGCCTGTAATCCCAGCGCTTTGGGAGGCCGAGGCAGGCGGATCACCTGAGGTCGGGAGTTTGAGACCAGCCTGACCAACATGGAGAAACCTCGTCCCTACTAAAAATATAAAATTAGTCGGGTGTGGTGGTGCATGCCTGTAATCTCAGCTACTCAGGAGACTGAGGCAGAAGAATCGTTTGAACCTGGGAGGTGGAGGTTGCAGTGAACCGAGATCGCACCACTGCACTCCAGCTTCGGCAGTAAGACGAAACTCCATCACACACACACACACACACACACACACACACACACACACACACACACGAATATGGAAGGGCTGTGGCTTCTATAAGCTCTGACCTTACCAAACAGTTTAAAGCTCCCTGTCATTCTGATTTACACACACACAAAACTGTCCTACAATATTGAATCACAGGAATGTCCAAATGATATACAGTAAAAATTAAATACAAGTTTGATTCCAGCAATCTAAGAATCTTGCAAACTTACAACTAGTTAAGTAAAAAATATCAACTTGGAGGATGGTGCATTCTGACAGGGCCTAGGATAAGGTGATGACTTTCAAAGAGCTAATTTGACTCCTCAGGACAGAAAATAAATGCCTTACGATGCATTAAACCAGTGGAAGAGCAAGTAATGTACAATTAAAATATCTGAGTTTAAGTTCCAGTTTCATCACATATGACCTGTGGAACCTTGGCTTCTCTAGGTCTTTGTTTGCTCTTCTGTGAAACAGGGATGACAATGCCTACCTGAAAGAGTTAATAACATGTGAGGTGGCTTGAGAAAGGACTGTAAACTGTTATCCTTTGCACAGGGCTTCACATCCAACAAGAAATCCGTTTCCATTTCAAACTTAAATACATTGATGCCTTCACTACATGGTATAATGAACATAGTTCCATATCAAAGATTTGCTTCACATTAAAGTATAAGAAATCTAAAAACTTTTTTATGTACTAATTCTTTCACTAGAAAAATACATTGCACTTTACCCTAACAGGAAAAAAAACCAAAAAGCAAAAAACACACACACACAGAATAAGGAAAGAAAAAGGGAAAGTAAAAAGGTTCCAATAAGAGCCTCACCATCTGTTCATCCTCTTTGGCAGCCCAACTGGCACTGAACGTCTGACCTCCACTGCCTTTCATCAGGCGAATTTGAACATGCTGGAGATAGGCAGAGAATGCTAATCGGGCCTGCACTTTGCTATAGAAATCCAAAACAACATACCGTTATGAGACAGAAGGGTAAACCTACAAAATGTGTACTTGCTTTTCTCAAAGTGGCTTTGCGGATCCTTCTATTTTGATGGCTAAGAAATATGAAACCCATCTTACAGTCTGTGAATAATGATTCCTTCTAAACAGTATATGAGGGTTTAAAAAAAAAAAGTCCTATTAAAATAATCAGAGATGGAGAATCCCATTTTCTCATTATTAGCATGAGGAAAAAACGAATAGAAAATTAGATTTCTTACTCAACACCTTCTCTTTGAAGATTTTTTTTTTTTTTTTTTGAGACAGAGTCTCATTCCATCACCCGGGCTGCAGTGCAGTGGTGCAATCTCAGCTCATTTCAACCTCCATCTCCTGGATTCAAGCAATTCTTGTGCCTCAGCCACCTGAGTAGCTGGAATTACAGGCGTGCACCACCACACTCAGCTAATTTTTGTATTTTTAATAGAGATGGGGTTTTACCATGTTGGCCAAGCTGGTCTCAAACTCCTGGCTTCAAGTGATCTGCCTGTCTTGGCCTCCCAAAGTGCTGGGATTACAGGCCTGAGCCACTGTGCCTGGCCCTCTTTGAACTTTTTAACAATTTTCTTGGGGTAACAGGAAAAGTACTGAATCTTCACAAGAACCACTGTATTAATGAGAAAACACTTTTTACATCTGGAGGTCCTTAAGAACATATCAGTTAGTGCAAAAGTGTGGATTTTGCGATGGCAATTAATATTTCTAGTATAAAAAAGTATCCAAAGCAGGAAATAGATAAATCCTATAACAGGACTCTTTAGACCAAATTTAAGGCCACACTTTTCTCAACTACAAGATGGAATGGCTGGAGCCCAGAACAAATGCGTGAGATCCAACAGAGTTTGGCAGAGGTGAACTGATGGGCCAGGGAAGACAAGCCCAGATGTTCAGTGGGCAAAAGAAACCCTCAAGTCTAGTGAAAAGCACCTAAGCAACACCTAGCTATTTTCTGCCTGGTGGCCTAGGCTGGAAACAAGGAAATCTGATCAAGCGATAGTTTGGAAGACAGAAGTACCAGAGAGACACTGATGATTTTCACCTCAGCTGCTATTCGTGGCAGATCTGTTTTCTTTCAGGCGAGATTTTGATTACTTCAGCTGATCGGCCTTCTGACACTGTAGCCAAAATTATATCAGTGAAGATTAGGGCCCAACACAAACTTTGTTTACAATCCTCACACATGCAATCACTGAATGCTTTCTACTGACTGTTTTCAAGGTTAGGATGTATGATTTGGCTAGAGTAAACTAGAAATCCTAAGAGGGCTCCAGCCTAGCTTCCATGTGTATGTTGGAGAATTGGAGGGCAAGGGAGTCAGGCTGGGGAGATTTCCTTTTGAGAACTTAATACATAGGAGTTTCAGAACATGAACTATAAATAAGGCTAGATTTTTGTTACTAGCAGGGATGGTTTATGGGAGCATAATATGGTTTTGAAATAATAAATTTATTTATTTATTTCAAGACAGAGTTTCGCTCTTGTCACCCAGGTTGGAGTGCAGTGGCGCGATCTCGGTTCACTGCAACCTCTGCCTCTCAGGTTCAAGCGATTCTCCTGCCTCAGCCTCCCAAGTAGCTGAGATTAGAGGTGCTCACCACCATGCCCAGCTAATTTTTGTATTTTAGTAGAGATGGAGTTTCACCGTGTTGATAAGGCTGGTCTCAAATTCCTGACCTCAGGTGATCCACCCACCTCAGCCCTCCCAAAGTGCTGGGATTACAGGTGTGAGCCACTACACCTGGCCATAAATGTACATTTTCAACTGTTCCTCAAAGACAATAATTATATCCTTTTTCACCTAGAGAGCATATACCACTTTCCCATGAACCAACCCTACAAGCTTTGCCCCCACAACAAATTATTTTCAAGTCAAAATAACTTTAAAAGATCCTCAGTTTGGGTCAACAAATTCACCTACAATAAAATGAACAAGAAATAGCATGTTTCAGACACCTCCAAAGGTAGCAGAATAGCCAATTCCACTGATTGATCCTTTTATACTAAAACTTGAAGGTGTTTTAAATAAGGGGATTATTGCTCATAAATTGAGACTTCAATCATTGTTTTGCTGTGAATCACTGTTGCAAAGCAAATGAACAAGTACTGAGGTTTCCAATTCTATAAACCTCACCAATGTTAATTCTGAGACTGTCTCTAAGATATTGGACACGTTGTTCAACTAGTCACTTGCAACAAAACAAACCCCCAAAAAAGATGAAAGAATAAAAACCAGAATGATTTACACCAAGGAAACCTATTTTTAAAAACAGAAGGTTATGCAGATGCCCAGTATATAAAGTATACAACGAGGCCATGCTTAGAGTTTTGAACCCTGGCCGTCGCCCTTCCCCAAACCCCTGAGTAGCCTCTGAGACACTTCACCAAACAATGAGCAGCTTTAGGGAACACAGTCTGAAAACCACTGATTGACACTAACATACCCTGCAATTATAACAGTTTATTCATTCAAAGTGAGATCCACAAGATTCCTGAAGAAATAATTTATTTCTATAACAACCAAGCAGAATGTTATTGCTGGAAAGGACTTTAGAATACAGTCCAGTGGTTTTCAAATGCTCTATTTTCAATTCAGTGAAATCTTTTTTCCCTCTAGGAAGCAGTTTGAAAAAACACTTGTCTAACTCTATACCTTGGATTGACAGAAAAAGGAAACTGAGGCCTAGAGAAGCTCTTTGACTTGCCTATGACTACATAGCCAGCTGGTAGCACTGAAACAGCTAGAACCCAGGTTTTCTGACTCAGTTTGGTGCATTCTCCACTGACAGACCTAATGTTCTTTTTTGTTGTAGTTGTTGAGATAGAGTCTCGCTCTGTTGCCCAGGCTGGAGTGCATGGCGCGATCTCGGCTCATTGCAACCTTCACATCCCGGGTTCAAGCAATTTTCCTGCCTCAGCCTCCCAAATAGTTGGGACTACAGGCACGTGCCACCATGCCCGGCTAATTTTTTGTGTTTTTAGTAGAGACAGGGTTTCACCGTGTTAGCCAGGCTGGTCTCAATCACCTGACCTAGTGATCCGCCCGCCTCAATCTCCCAAAATGCTGGGATTACAGGTGTGAGCCACCGCGACCAGCCAGAACTCTTCTTACTCCCCATGACACTGTTCCAAACTTAACTCTATCCCCTGGTACTCCAATGTTACCCTCCAAACTTTCAGTATAAGAATTCGCCTCTAATTTAGAATATAAAGGCTATCATGCATAAACGCCTAAACTTCCTTGCTCTTAAGCTTCTACCAACTGCATTCAACCCATTGCACTTTCTTTCTGACTTATAGGAAGAGATATCCCTCCTCTGGCTTTTGCCCACCTTCCTTTAGAACGCTTCTGTACGAATATATCCATTTCTGCAATTCTAATCCTCTTATGATCTAATCCTTCCCCTCAGTCTATAAATAAGCTCCAGAACCCCATCTCAAAAGAAAAAAAAAATCCCTTTCTTTTAGTTGGCGGTCTTCCTGATGCATTCTCACCTTCCTTTTACTGCCAAACCCTTAGAAAGTTAGTTCACACTTGCTTTCTTATTTTCTCAGCTCACAACTGTTCTTCCACCTACTCAGTTGGCCCTAGGTCACAAATCCAGAAGTCTCTGTTCATCATTCATCCTAACTTGGGCTGTTTGAGGCTCTATAGACCCAAATGCTCAATCTGCAGCTTTTTCCATATTACTCCTGCCTGATTTTATGTCTATTGCTCTAACTGCCACTTCTTGATCTTTTTACTGACTTACCCATTGAATAGCGGTATTCCCCAGCGCTCAATTTCTTTTTTATCCTTGCTGAACCAAATAAATTTGAACAATCTTATCCATTCTGAAGACTTTATCTATCAACTATACAATCTTGTTCAACCTTGACCAACAAAGCTGTATTTTCACTTATCAACTGGACTTCAGCCAGAGCACTTCTTCCTCACTACGTCTTAAATGAAACACATTATTTTTGATCATGAAACCAACTCCTATGTTCCTTCCATTAACCAAAGGCACCACCAAGTTTCCAAATGTGAAAAGCTTAGTCTCATCAATTTTACTCTGCAAATTTCACTAAGTCCATCCCATTCTCTATTCCTAAAGCCATTACTCTGATCAAGGCTTTCACCTTCCTGGCTCTGGACAATTCTAACAGTCCCTAACTCACCCTGCTGCCTTCAGTTACACTATCCCACAATGCAAGCACAATCTGCATTCTAAAACAAGATCTCACAGTATCATTTATGTGCTTAAAAGTAACCTAGAAAATAAAGCCCAGACTCTTTGCAATCTAACAACATCCAATATTTTAGTCTCATTTCTTACCATGTTCTTCTCCCCATGTAGTTCTGCTAGTCTGTATTTTGTAAACACACCAAGCTCATTACAACGTCTGGGCCTTTGTACTTGCTGTTCTGCTGGGAGTATTCTGCCTCCTAATACTCACACGACTGACTACTCATCATCCAGTACTCACCTCAAAGGTTACCTCTTCATGCCAAATCATTGCAATCTAAGTTTAAACTCTCTGCCCAATTACATTCTAACATTACACTATCTAACTGACAGCATTTCTCATGGCCTGAAATGACCTTGTTTCTTTGTTTACTGTCAGTCTTCCCCACTAGACTGTAAGCTCCAGTCCTATCTTGGTCCCCATAGTAATGGGATATGGCCTAGCACAATTCCTGGCATAGTACAGGTACTCAATAAAAACTCACTAAGTGACTGAATAAATGGCTGTACTATCATACCTCTATGTCTTCACTGCCTCTACCTAGCACTCCCACACTTAACCATCACCTCCCAAACCTCCTGAAACCCTACTTATCAGTCAAGGCCTGATTCAAATTTTCCCTCCACTATAATGCTTTTCTAGCCCTCCCAAGCCAGACCAATCACTCTTTTTCTGTGTCCTAAAACCACGTGTTTGTACTGGGACCATGGCCTAAACATTCTCTCTCTGATACTAAACCATGAGCTGCTTCAGCTCCTTGTCTCAGTTACCTTACACTCAGTGACTGACACAAATGCCCAACCAATGAGACCCGGGTTTGTATCATAGTTTTACCTTGGACAAGTTACCTAACCTCTCTAAGGCTCAGTTTTCTTAACAATAGCAATGTCTAATCACAGTCATTATTTCACAGGACTCCTGTAAATATTAAATGCAAAATGACTGTAAAGCCACTAAAATAGTACCTGGTACACAGTACATGTTAGCCGTTACCAGTTTTACTAATATAAAAGATACATACCTAAGATTACCATTATCTTGAAGAATCCGCATCAGGTTAAATTTAGGCTCTGGCTCCTGAGCCTCAATTTTGCAGCACTGTTCACCTTTATTATTCCATTCAGGAACTTTCACGGAATTTTCTTTGGGTGCATTTTCTACCATAGCTGTTAATGAGGGTGTATATTTGGCTGGATTTTCTCTAAGAGACCCTGCAGACTCCTCCTGGGAAGCTTCTTGTTCTTCATCTTCATTAACTAACGCGACTTCTTCCTCCTCTTCACTCTCTGTCTCAGTTTTAACATTCATTTCAGCTGGTTGGGTAATCACTAAATGCGAAGAATCACTAATGTTGCTGAAAAAAGGATTAAATTTTCCTCTCTCCCAATACCTTCCTTTTCTCTTTTTAGTAAAAACCCATTTCTAAACCAAACCACAAACAAGGCACAGAATTATTAGCAACCACGTCATTCTCTATTCTTATATATTCTTTTATTGATTTTTATTTATTATCATTTTTTGAGACAGGGTCTCACTCTGTTGCCCAGGCTGGAGTGCAGTGGCAGGATCCCAGCTCACTATAGCTCAACTTCCTGGGCTCAAGTAATCTTCCCACCTTAGCCTTCCAAGTAGCTGGGACTATAGGCACATGCTACATACCCAGCTAATTTTTGTATTTTTTGTAGAGACAGGATTTTGCGAGATTGCCTAGGCTGGTCTAACTCCTGGGCTCAAGTAATCCGCCCACCTCAGCCTCCTAAAGTGCTGGGGTTACAGGCATGAGCCACCATGCCTGGTCTAATCTTACATATTCTAAAACCTATTAATGATCTTCAGTAAATTTGATATTTTTCATCATACTCTTATCATGGCTCTCTCACAGCTTAAGGCAAAAAAAAAAAAAAAATCAAAACACAAAAAACCCTTGGGTTAGTGTTTTCTACAGTGTGTTAGAGATTTTTTTAAAAAGCACCCTTCATGGAGGTATAAAGAACAGGGGAATATCTTTCTATCTTATGTTCATTAGTTATCCTTCTCTACTGCCTTGTAAGTTCTATGAGGACAGAGACTGTATCTTTTTTATTTACCAGCGAAACCTCAGTGACTAACATGCTGCCTGATACAGATGTTCAACAAAGGAGGGAAGGAGAGAAAAAAAGGAAATCAGTATATCAGTCAATTACAAATAGACCTACAACATTGTAGAAGCTGGGAGAGAAAGAAATTCCACTTTGTCTAAAATACTTATGCCATTCAGCAATGTTAAAGAATGAACTGAACTTACCTAATTACAAAAAACCTGAACAGTAATGCTCAGGATTCCATTAAACTCAGGCTAATATTATTTCTAAAGAATCAGGTATTTGCACAATGCTGACATAAGAGCAAAGGCCAAAATGTATGTGCCCCAGATAGTCTTCAATACAAATATTATGGAGTGGAAGGTTTAAAAACGTAGGACCTTGTTGAAATTAAATTTCAGAGAAAAACAACTATACAAACAAAAAAAAAAAAAGTGTATTTGACCAGGAAGATTCTGACTCATGAAATATTGAGTAAGCGACTGGTTAACTCAGTCTGGCAGGATCCAGATAAGGGAGTTTGGTGAAAGCTCACCAGCAGGTACCTGGGTATTTTGGCCTCATTGCCCTCAATCTGCTACTCCGTCGTCTACATTTTCGCACCTCCAGAGACAGGAGCTTCCTCTCGTAAAGTGCGGCATGCAGCTTGGCCTTTGAATTCGTGCCATCTATCTTCAATTCTGGTGTTCCATCAGCAGTCGTTCTAGGGGAAAAACAACATGGTAGCTATGGCCTTCAGAAAGTTCTCTCCTTCACTCCAAGGCTAAGCTTGCCAGAATTCCATAATGCTGACACACTGGACATGGTAACTCAAGTGAATTCTAAGTTTGACAGGTAAAAAGGAACACTAGAATCTACATTAAAACCTCACTAGTCACCCATTTGAATGTATTAAATGTTCTGGAAAAAAATATGTAGCTAAAGACAATGTTGAAGACCTTTAAGTATTCAGTAATACTGATTATTAGTTTACTGCAGGGATTATAAAGTGCCACCCAACACCTTACATCTTAAAATACTTTATAACTTAAAAATGACAACATCTTAATTCTTAAGCTGAGTGGTGGCAAATGATGTTTGCTTTATTTCTATCCATTATAACTTACTCAGCATTTTATAAATATTCTTTTGAATGTATATAAAATCTAAACAATATAGATTTAGCAGAGGTTGAGATGAGGGGAAGAAAGGCTGATGATCTGTGAATATGCGAGGCAGCACCGAGTTGACGGAGACTCATAGAAGTGTCATAGTGAAAAGTCACCAAGCCCTAGGGACTCAGCAAGCCTCAAGCATCCCAACATGAGGAAATGTCAAGGCACCCACCCTCTTTAAGATCCTAATTAGCTAAAGGGGAAGGTGGAGTGAGGTGGCAGGGACTTCACAGGCGTCAAGTACAGGTCAAGAGCTAGAGAAACAGAAAAGGGAAGGCAGCAGAGGTAGGACAAGGCCAAATACATCAGGTCATGAACGAGAAATGGGACGTGGAAATGGGGCTGGCAGCAACTACATTAGGCATTAAAGTAAGACAAATCACAAATTGGGGAGTGACTGATATGAGGTCCAGTCCAGACAAGGACTGAGTGAAATACAGGACCAAGCCACCAGAGAAAGAGAGGGCTCTGGGTCACCAGGTCAGAAAAGCAGTATCTGTATCAGTGTCTGAAAGTATGTAGCCAACTCTCTATGCTCAAACGCAAAATCTAACTGGTTGGCTCTGAACTCTCTAGAACTCAAAGTGTGTTCCTTTTGAGGTCAAGGAATCATCCTAACTCCTCTGGGAGTTTTCATTCTCTGAGTATAATGAAAAGGCTGTGTCATTTGGTCTATTTAGGACCTTTTTGATAGGGATTTCTGGGTGGATGGAATGGATAGTAAGCCTTTTGGAGGCCTTCTCTCCAGAGCAAGACATAGAGCCAAAAACAGGAAGGTCCTGGCACTGGGAGCAGAAATGGGAAGCAAATCAATGAACTTTAAAAAAAGTTCAAATGTATTTTATCAGAGTCCCAAAAGTAACACACACACACACACACACACACACAGAGAGAGAGAGAGAGAGAGAGCGAGAGAGAGAGAGAGAGAGAGAGAGAGCATGCACAAGTGCTGTAAAAATAAATTTTTAGCCAATTCAATAATAAAGGAAATCAAACAAATCTGATAGAAAAATAAAATCATTTAAACAATTTATTTAATAAGGTCTGGCTAACTTGGTCAAATTTATTTATTTATTATTTTTTAACCTGGTCAAATCTGGTAACTGTATGAACAAATATGGGCATATTTTAACACTGACATCTTTATCTCATAAACGCACAAACATTACTCTCTCCAAAGACATGTCTCTTAAAAACTTAATGTGATTGGAGACAGTGTAAAGTTTGAGGTCGTCCAAATTTAATGAGTGGAAGTTAATTCGACACCCTAGTAAATTAAAGCCCAGTGTTTACATTCATGAACCACTGTTCATTATATAAACAAGAATTTATATTGTCTACATGATACTATCTACATTTTCAAGAACTCTATTCTTTAGGGAAAAAAGATTTCTTTTTATCAACAAAAACTCAAAAAATAAACTTTTGAAAACATGAATGCTAAAAGCTCAGAGACATGGAGAAGCTACCACAAATCTCCTTCTCTAAAGATATTTTAAAATCACAACTATGAACTAAGAGACTCTGGATAAACAGATAAATCCTAACTAGTACAAGGGACGGAGGAAAGGGGATGCTGGGTAAAGTGTGAATCTGATAAGCAAGACTAATAGTTCTATGAGGGCAAGGACCATGTTTGTCTTGTATCACGGTATCCTAGATGCTTATGAGACTGCCCAGCACACAGCTGACTTGCCATAAATATTGGTTAATTAATAAACAACTGAATTTCCTAAAAAGAAGTTGAGTATCTTTTAGCTACATCTATTTCATTTTACTTTTTCCAACATTTTATTTGAAAATATTTTTTAAAAAGTTTAAAGATTATTCAGTGGACAACCATATGCCTACTCCCATCTAGTTTCTACAATTAACATTGTATTATATTTTGTTTCATCACGTATATATGCAATCATACATTCCTCTATCCATCCATCAATCTAATTTTCAAAGCAATTCAAAGTTACAGACATCAGTGCATTTAGCTCCTAAACATTTCAACATGCATATCATTACTATGTAGAATTCAATATTTGTTTTATAGAACTGTGTCTGGTAAGCTGGAAGTTATATACAGTGAAATATCCAAATATTAAATATCCACTTAACGAGTTCTGACAAATGCCTAGAGCTATATAACCCAAACTCTCAACATTGCTATCACCTCACAAGTTCTCATGCCCCTTCCCAGTCAATCTTCCCTAACCCCCTAAGGGCAATCACTGTTCTGAATTTTTTCACCATGTATTAGATTTGCCTGTTATAGAATTTCATAAAAATGGAACCATACAGTATGAACTGTTTTGTTTAAGCATCCTTCATTCAGCATGTTTTTGAGATTCACTCATGTGTGTATCAGTATTCATCCCACTTTATTACTGAGCAGTAGGTCACTGTCTGAATGATCCATAGCTATCTACTCTCTTGTTGGACACCTAGGTTGTTTCCCGTTACGTAGCATTAGGAATAAAGCTGCTATGAACATATTTGTACAAGTCATTTTGTGATTATGTTTTTTATTTCTTCTGTGTAGATCTCAAAGTGAAATTTGTGTATTTTTAACAAAATGCCAGCCTCTTCCTAAAATGCTTGTACCAGTTTACGCTGTCAATGACAATTTATCACAGTTCTGTTAGTTCCACATCCTTACTGACATTTAGTATTGTCAGTCTAATATTAGCCATTCTGCTAGATGTTTAGTGGTATAACATGGTTTTAATTTGTAATTCCCCAATAACTAATGTTGTTAAGTACATTTTCATGAGCATATTGGCTACTCATACATCTTCCTTTTGAAGTGTCTGTTCAAATATTTTACCCTTTTGTAACTGGGTGAATGGTCTTTTTTATTATTGAGTTGTAGAAGTTCTTTACGGTTCCTAGACATGAATCCTTTGACAGATTATGTTTGATGCATATTTCCACTCAGTCAGCTGCTTGCCAAATCATTTTCCTAACAGTATTTTATAATAAAGATTTTAATCTTGAGAAATTATAACATTGTTTTTTTATTGCTTTCTGTGTCATGTCTAAAAACATTGCCAAGCCCAAAGTCACAAAGATACTATGTTTTCTTCAATAAGTTTTATAGCAACAGTTTTTATATCTATGAATCATCTCTAATTTCTATGGGAAACAGGGGTTGGGGTTCATTTTAAAAAATACAATATTCAGTTGTTCCATCCCCATTTAAAAAAAATAATTTCCTTTCACTGTTGGATTATTTTGACCATATAAATGTGGGTCTATTTCTGGGTTCTCTATTCTGTTTCAATGTGATCAATTTGCTAAGATCTTGAATATTATAGAATTACAGTATTTAGGTCAAGTACTCTAAGTCTTTTTCAAGATTACTTTGGATATTCTAAGTCCTTTGCATTTGAATATAAATTTTTAAATGTTGGTCCATTTCTTAAAAAAAAAAAAAAAAAAAAAAATCCACCAGAATAATGATTGAGATTACACTGGATCTTTACATTGATTTGAGTAAAATGGCTATTTTAACTATATTAAGTCTTCTAATCCACAAGTGAGGCATATCTCCCCATTAATTTAGGTCTTCTTTAATCTCTTTTAGTAATATTTAATAGCTTTTACAGTGTAGGTATTGAACAAGTTTTGTTAAATTTATTCCTAAGTATTTTATATTTTCAAATGCCATTATAAATATAATTTAAAATTTCATTTTCCAATTATTTACTAGTAGTACATTACGATACAACAGATTTTAGTATGTTGATCTTGTATCCTAAAACCTTGACACTTCTATGTTCTTGTAGTTATAGATGCCTTAGGATTTTCTACTTACCTGATCATGTCATCCAAATATAGACATTTTACTTCCTCCTTTCCAATCTGTGTGCATTTCTTTTTTCCCTGCCTTTCTTTATTATACTAATGTACAATGTGAATAAAAGTGGTGTGAGTGGGCATCTTGACCTATTACAAATTATAGGGGAAAAGCCTTCAATATTTTACTGAATATGATTATAGCAACAGGTTTTTCATATAAGGCCTTTATCAAGTTGAAGAAGTTCTCTTCTATTACTGATTTGCTGAGAGTTTTTCTCATAAGCATGTACTGAATTTCATCAGTTGCTCTTTTGGGATATCTAATAAAATAAAGATGTTCTTAAAACATCTAGGTTTTCCCCTATAATTAATATGGTGAATTTCATTGACTAATTTTCAAATGTTAAGCCAATCTTGAAATACTGGGGAAAATCTCAGTCATATGTATTATCCTTTTTATATACTAGCAGATTAATGTGCTAATATTAAGAAATTTTATGTCTATGTTCATGAAGGATATTAGCTGGTAATTTTCTCTTTTTCTTCTTCTATTTTAATGTCTTTGTCAGGTTTTGGAATCACAGTCATACTGGCATCATAAGATGAACTGGGAAGTGTCCCTTCCTATATTCTTAAAAGAATCTGTGTAAGATTGGTGTTATTCTTCCTCAAATGCTTGACAGAATTCAGTAGTAAAATTGGAGAGCTGAGTTTTCTCTATAGAAGTTTTTCATTACAAATTCAATTTTCTCCACAAATGTAGGGCTTTTCAAAACTTCTACTTCAGCTGGTGACACCTTGGGTGTTCTCCTCCACATTTTCCCAGCCACAAAGAATTGTCATTTCATCTAAGTTGTCAAAGTAATGGAATAAAGTTGCTAATAATATTCCCCTAATATCTTTTTTCCCTACCTTAGTATCCATTTTATGTCTGCAGAATCTATAATGATATCCTTTCTTTTCTATCTGATGATATTGGTAATTAGTGTTCTTTCTCTTTATTCTAGATCAGTCTACCTAAGGGTTCATCAATCATGCTACCTTATCAATGAACACACTTTGGATTTTGTTAATATTATTTATTGTTTGTCTTTTATTTGATTTCTGCTTTTCCTTTCTTCTACTTACTTTGAAGTTACTCTGCTTTTTTCGATTTCATAAAACGAACATTAGATCAGTCCTCAGTTTTTTTTTTTGTTTCTGTTTTTTTGTTTTTTGAGACAGAGTTTCGCTCTTGTTACCCAGGCTGGAGTGCAATGGCACAATCTCGGCTCACCACAACCTCCGCCTCCTGGGTTCAGGCAATTCTCCTGCCTCAGCCTCCTGAGTAGCTGGGATTACAGGCATGCGCCACCATGCCCAGCTAATTTTTTGTATTTTTAGTAGAGACGAGGTTTCACCATGTTGACCAGGATGGTCTCGATCTCTTGACCTTGTGATCCACCCGCCTCGGCCTCCCAAAGTGCTGGGATTACAGGCGTGAGCCACCGCGCCCGGCTGTCCTCAGTTTTTTAAGGTAAGCATTTAAACTTATAATTTCCCCCAAAGCACTACTTTAGCTGTGGCACACACATCTTGACATATTTTTACTATTACTCAGTTCAAATTTTTCCTCATGACTTCTTCTTTGACCCGTGGATTATTTAGAAATGTTGTTTAATTCCCAAATATTTGAAGATTTTCTATTGTCACTGATATTCAATTCTCTTGTGGCCAAAGAATACTCTGTATCATTTTAATCCTTTTAAATATATTAGAACTTGTTTCATGCTCCAGCATATGGTCTATCATATGCCAGCTTTCATTTGCTTACACCTCTACACAGCCCCAAATCCCTATTGACGACAATATAAAATGAGTGCCAAAAAATGAAGAAAGAGGCTGGGCGCAGTGGCTCACACCTGTTATCCCAGCACTTTGGGAGGCCAAGGCGGGCAGATCACAAGGTCAGGAGTTTGAGACCAGCCTGGTCAACACGGTGAAAACCCGTCTCTGCTAAAAATATAAAAATTAGCTGGGTGTGGTGGCAGGTGCCTGTAGTCCCAGCTACTCTGGAGGCTGAGGCGGGAGAATCACCTGAACCTGGGAGGCGGAGGTTGCAGTGAGCTAAAATCACGCCACTGCACTCTAGCCTGGGTGACAGATCAAGACTCCATCTCAAAAAAAAAAAAAAAGAAGAAGAAGGAGAAAGAACAGAACTCAGTAAGCTTCATATATTCTTCATGTTTAAGATTTTTTCTTTTTTCTCAATTTCCAAATTAATAGTAGTATGTTACAGAAAGATTATTTCTTGACTCAAAACTGGAGAAAACACACTTGGTATATACCAAGTGTGACTTTCTATTTGGAAACAAGCTACAAACTTGATTTACTTCAGTTTTCCCTTAACTAAATGGCAATCATACTGTATTCCTTCTTTAAAGAAAAATTAGACTTATGCTTTAAAGGGCTCTCTGCCTGAATGAAAGGCCGCAGGCGTTTTGTATGCTTTCAGTTCTGTAGCAAACTAGAAACAGGTTCTGTTCTGTCCCATGAGGCACAGAGTGCGTGCTTCAGGTATGTCAAAGCCAAAACACCAACTCTTACCTGAATCTAACATGACATTAGTTACAAAATCTCATTAACACTATCTTACGCACAGCTAAATGAGAATACCATTATCAGTTAAAATAATATACCTGTAGTTATAACAAAGTAAATCGCAAACTTACGTTTGTAAAAAGTGGCCACAAAATACTTTTTCAATAGAAAAAATGTTACTATTCAAGCTGAACCAAATTAAAAATGGTTATATAAAGTTATTATGCTTAGTCTGTGCATAGTCACATATTTTGCACATGGGAAGGATTTCTCAACTTTTAAAAGTGAATTACCGTGTTCTTCCTGTCAATAAGCTCCTTCTTGGGTTTCCCCTACAGAAGCAGAAAGGACAACTGGGTTAGAGAATGCTATTCAGATAATCTCTCTTGAGTTGACACACACATGCACTCTTGAAATTCTTAATACAGAAATTCAACATGAAATTAGGCCAAGGAGGACATCTTTGGGGAAAGCACACAGATAAATTAAGAACATTCTCCAAGAAGAATGCTGTGAGCTGGAGGGACATTCAATAAAAAACAAAAGAGAAAGGACAAATTATGGAGAAAAGTTACAACAATTATTCATAGTTATTTATCTATTTACAAAGCAAACTGCTTATTCCTAGCAACAACCATGTAAGGAAGGTTGTTATTAGCTCCATTTATATGAAGGAGCAGGATAAGGTAATTTTTTGGCCTGCCATAGCCAGAGCTTAAAGAGTTTACATCTGAGCTCAGGGCTTTGGTCTCAAACTGCAGTGCTCTTTCCACTTTCATTGAACTGTTTTAGGAAAAGAAACCATGCTCAATTCTCATGGGGTTCAAAAGGGTTGCTCATCAGAAACAGGTTTTCCACAGCTTAAAAAAATCTCTATTAAAAGGCCAGGTGTGGTGGCTCAGCCTGTAATCCTAGCCGAGGATTAGGGAGACCGAGCCAGGCAGATTGCCTGAGCTCAGGAGTTCGAGACCAGCCTAGGCAACACGGTGAAACTCCGTCTCTACTAAAAATACAAAAAGTAGTCAGGCAAGTCAGTGTGCGCCTATAATCCCAGCTACTCAGGAGGCTGAGGCAGGAGAATTGCTTGAACCCAGGAGGCAGACAGTACACTGAGCCAAGATCATACCACACACTCCAGCCTGAGTGACAGAGTGAGACTCCATCTCAAAACAAACAAAAACTCTATTAAAAAAAGATACTCTCCATTTTCTCTAAACTAGGGCTAGGCTCTCACCACAGAAATCAAGTGCAATTCATGTTAAAATAGGCTTTTGTTTTTCTTTTGAAACTCTTTCATTTAATTTCCTTTAACACTCTTAAAAAATTTCCAGCAGTGGCTCACGCCTGTAATCCCAGCCTGTAATCCCACTTTAGGAGGCCAAGGTGGGTGGATTACTTGAGGCCAAGAGTTCAAGACCAGCCTGGCCAACATAGTGAAACCCTGTCTCTACTAAAAAATACAAAAATTAGCTGGACATGGTGGCATTAGCCCGTAATTCTAGCTGCTCAGAAAGCTGAGGCAGGAGAAACACTTGAACCCAGTGAGCCAAGATCATGCCACTGCACTTCAGCCTGGGCAACAGAGTGAGACACTGTCTCAAAAAAAAAAAAAAAAAAAAGTCCCCAGTTCTACTTATACTCATTTATGTATGTGTGTATTTAATTCAGTACTTTTATTGCCTGCGTAGGTTCATATACCCACCACAGAAAAGATACTCAATGATTATTATCACCATGAAGATTCCCCCATGTTGCCCTT